CTGGCTTCATCTCTGGGTCCTTCCCAGGTCCTCTGTACTGCTTTCCCAGCTCTCTGACCATTCCTGACATCCCCAACAGTTCCTGGCCAGCCACTGTGGCTCTTTTCAGGAACACCGGACAGGAGACCTTGCCAGGGTCTGTCTCCAGCTCCTGCCTGCTAACTAGCTGGCAGCCCCTTGACTAAACCCATTGCCTATTCAATGCTGAGCCTCAGTTTCCCCTGCCCTTGTGAACCCCAGAAATTGTTTTGTACCTTTGCTGTCTTCCTGCAAAGCTCTGTTAGATCTGGAGAGAGATTTTCTGATCAGATACCAGCTTTTTTCTTTTCACTTGCACTGCAAATACCCTTTTTTTCTTCAGACCAAGACCTCTTGGCCTCTCCTTCCCTCATTCCTGTCTGCAGTAGCTGGGAACTGGGTCTGCAAGTGTCGGGGAGGGCAGGTTTGGGGACCAGGTGGGCGAGGTCTAAGCACTCATTATTCCTTGCTGACTTAGTGAAGCTACAGGCAAGGGCATGTGCAGTTCCCTTCGCCAGTTTGCTTTTACTTTGAGATAGGGTCACAGTATGTAATTCAGGCTGGTCTTGAATTCACCACATGGCCCAAGTTGGCCTCGAATTCATGATGATCCTCCTGCCTCAGCCTCCTGAGTGCTGGGATTCTAGGCATGTACCACTACGCCTAGGCTCTAGTTTATTTCTATCACATCTAAAAACTAGCTGATTGACACCCACAGCAGTGTTGTCACCCAGTTACCAAGTAACAATGGGTCTCCGTCACCCCTAGCAACAATAATAGCTCATGCACGCTGACCACTCATGATGTGTGTACATGGGGCTCAGAGGAGGTTTGATTTAATGTGTGCCCTGGAGGAGCTCTGAGACCCAGGTGCTGTCATTTTCCTCAGTTTACAGAAGAGGACACCAAAGTTTCCAAGAACACCGAGCTCTGCAGTGAACTCTACTCTAGCCCTGACCTGGTGCGCTTGAGCAAGCCGAGAGCCCCTGTTCTGAGCCTGCCCTGACAGCTTACTCTTAGCTGTCAAAAGATTTGGGAAGCAGCTGCCGCTCCCGCAAGTGGCAGAGACACTAAGTAAATCAGTGCTGACAGGCGCTGTCACAGCATCGAGTGCTCTGCCCCATCAGGCTAGTCCTTGCTCTCCACGTGAGAGCACCAGCCTCTGTCACTCTGGGCCACCACCTGGTTTGCCGTGATGACAGCTCCTAACACTGTCCTTGTTTTTTTTTCCCCACAGTATGTAGACAAGATGTGCATCTATTTATCAGGGGTGGCTTGGTCTGGACTCAGTTCTGATGCTTTGTTTTCACCAGACAGAATGCAAGTAAGCTTTTCTGCTGCTCCTCTTCCGCAGTACAGTATCACTCTCCTCTACCTGTGCAGGATCTTGGGGAACCACCTGTGTATCTGCTCCCCTTCTACTGCTGTGGCCTGCTTTCAGAGCCCTGCAGCACTCTCCTTCTTCTTAGGGGGTGCAACTGTGTACTTTCTATGGGCCCTCCCAGGCCAGCCTGGAATGCAGTGAACAGCTAACAAATGCTTGTTGACTAAATGAATGAGCATTCACAACACATAAGTCGCTGCGTCATGACATGACATGATCCCATTGGAAAGGGGCCGTGTGCTTCAGTCTAGGGTAGAAGCATGGAGGTGTGACATTGTACTAAACTTGTCTTTTGCTGTCTGTTACTCAGCCAGAACCCCCCTGTGCCTGCCACATGCAGCCACACACTTAGTGGCCCTGTACCAACTGGGTAAAAGTACCAGGCTGAATGCTGAGCTCTTCCTACACCAACCTGTGCTTTGCATTTAGAAGCTCAGAAAAAAAAAAAAAAAAAAGCTTATTATTGTCCTTTGTTTTTTCAGACTGTCCTCTGGGTTTTTTAAGAGTTGGCGTGACAGTCATGGGATTGTCTCCGGCTGTTTGGCAAGTCCAGGGAGGTGGGTCCCTGCTTCTGATGCTGGATTCTGGTTGAGATATAAAACTTCAATTTCCAAGTCACCAGTTCTTGAGAGAACTTACCAAGATGGTCTGTCAGGAACCATCTGGCCCACCTGGCCATCACCAAGAGGAATGTTATCACTGAGGGAGTTTGTAAAGGTCTCTCGGCTAGTAATTTCTTCATCATTTCAGACAGTCTCTAGCTAGACCTGGCCAGACAGTTATTTCTGGCTGGGTACAAATTCTGTGTTCAGAATATTGCTTGGCTCTTTGTCTTTTTCCCCTCTGTACTGCCTCCCACCCCCAGCCTGACTCATCTCTTCTAGAACTTTCGCTGTCCTTTCCTAAACCACTGGGAGTGATTTACTAAGTGCATTTCCCAGCCAGTTTCCAGACACTGGCTGGAAAGACCAATTTACAGGAACAAAATGTCCCCAAGTTGTAATTGGGTCATGCTCCAAAATTCATTTGAGAATCAGCCATTGGATTTAACAGTTTTATTTTCTCTCAGAAGTAGTGGTGTGGGGAGTCTCAGGAAGTCCCCAGATGTCACTCAGTCTGGCATGAAGCTGAATTTTAAGGCAAATGAGGGATCCAGGAACAGAACACATGAGGATATGAAAGGGGACTTGGGGATGTCTGAGATGGGAGGATATGAGAAGAAATGGTAGGAAGAAGAGGGGATCCTTTCTTCCCTTTTAGGCATGCATTTCTAGACCTGGGCTACAGTTCATAATAATTACGGCTGTGAGTGCAATCTCTTGGCCTGCAGGCTAAAAATGACTGGAGTTCGGGGTCTGAGCCATGGGTTAAGCAAACTCAGATTAGCTACTTGCCAACATTGCTGCTTCTCTAGCTAACAGATCAGTGTGTTGCTGCACATGCTTCCTCTGTGGGAGCAAATCACAAGGAAAGGGGGAGAAGAGTCAGAAAGCCGTGTGTGAGCTGCCCCTGGCTCAGCGCATCAACTGTCCTGGACAGGACAGAGCAGTGTTTAAGCATCTTCTTCTCTCTTCTGGCCACGCTGTGTGAAGTTAGGGCTCAGACTTGCCTCTTGCACCCCCCTTTCCTAGACTTTCCAGCCTCTACCAGTTATATTCTTGCTCTAACCCTGGTGATAGGTTGGGTATCCCTTATTCAGAATGCTTGGGACAACCACAAAATCTGTTTATGTTTCATGTACACTTTGTACATACAGCCTGACTGCCATTTTCCACAATATTTTTAATAATTTTGTGCATGAAACAAAGTTTCAGAGCATGGAAGTTTTCCACCAGTAGCTTCATTCAGCCCTTAAAAAGTCTCAGATTTTGCAGCATTTTGAATTTTGGATGAAGGATGCTTGACTCGGATCTTCAATCAAGTTAGAACCAAACTGATGGGCACAGAAGCCATTCTCATACCTTAAAGCTGGTGTAGTATTGCTGGGCTCTGATCCACCATGGACTTTGTACTTCAGCAGCTAATTTCTGTATTCTCAGGGGTCACTTCAATACTCCTAACTCCTGCACAAATATTTGCTGTCTCCAGTTGTTTGTAGAACTAGTAGGAATATAAAGCAAATCAAAATACATGAAATCCAATATCATCTACTAACTTTCCTCCGTAGTTGAAACTCTCTTTCTTTTAGAAAAATAATTTCATCCAGATGTTAGAGAGAAGAACAAACTCTTTCATGTTAGTATGTGAATGACTAACGCTTCTCCTAACATCCTCAGAGGTTTTTTTCTCCTTTTGAAAAGGGGGCACATTGTGCTACACATGCATCGTTAGCCTGTAGAATTTCTGACAGCTCTTTCAGAGTAGAAAACTTTGGGAGTACTGCGGGAAAGATTTCAGCTTTGTGTTGGTCTTTTGTGCGGGGGTTCAGCTTTTCCAGGATGGCTAGAGCAGCTTCTTTTCTTTCTGAACACCAGTCTTAGAGACCCAAAGACCCCAAGGCTTTTCCAAAACACCCTCAGGACTACTCAGCTCTTGGGAAAGAGGGACGGTGGCGTGGCGTTGGCCGGTAAACCAGGGAAAGAGCCTCCCGCTTGCCACCTAGCCTGACCGCTCTCATCCATCCTGTTGTGCAAGTTTCTCTTTCCAAATGCCCCAGTTTGGTCTTTCTCTCTGTTTTTCTTCCTTCCTTTCCTTTTTTCATGATACTAACAAAAATGAGCTCAAAATCTTAGCAACTGAAGCATTTCCTCTTATGTATCTTGAAAATGTTTATGCTTTATTTCTCTTCTGTCTCTCTCTTTTTCATCTAGACTTCAGTCTCAGGATCCCACTGAATCCAGATTTCCGTTTCCTAGCAACATGGCTGATGCTGGCTTTGCTAGGCTAGTCTTTTCCTCCTCTTGGTCCACCTCTTCTCTCCTCCTCCTCCTGTCTTCCTCCTCTTTCTTTTTCACCTCCCTTTTGAATTTCTCCCCAGCCTAGGAAAAACTCTTTTTCCACCTGACTCTGCTCTGACCCTGCTCACACGGAAGACCCTATGGGTGCTCCTGACCCGGGGGAAGTTACATGGAATGGTCTCTCTAATGGAAGATTTGGTGACATTGTGTGCCCCATAGCTGGATTCAAATTAATCCCTAATCTGCATCAAGGTTAAGACTAATTGTAGTTAGCCAGGATGGGCTGGAAATTACATAGACAAGTTTGTTTTGCTTTTAAATTTTTGTGTTGCTTACCCTTCCAATACAAGCACACTGCTTGTTCAAGTTGGCTAGAATGACCTCTGAGGACCTCTGCTTTCCTTTTGTTCTATGAGTCTTGGCTCCTGACAAGGCAAACCTAGTGGGAATCCCCACCCAAGGGACCACAGGATATAATTAGAGCTGTATTCTGCTTCCTTTTTCAGAGGTGAACAGAGATTTCCTACTAACTACCCTACTGCCTTAAATTGATTCTTGGTCATCAGCTTCCAAGAACCCCAGCGGTTAAGTTAAACATCAAACAAATTCTCTATGAATGTGTAAAAAATATTTTTATTTATGTCTGAACATTTAAAAAACCAATAATGTCAGCACCAAAAGACTGGAAGAGGTTCCACATGTGAGGTTATTCTTTTTTTATTATTATTTAAAGAAAGACAAAACAAAATAGAAAAGGGGCAGAAATAGTACATACTTTCAAAGAAAAGAAATAAACAGTAATAAATCACTAGTTGATGTATACATATTGTCCCCCCACAAATAGTTGTTCAAGATACAAAAGTGGAACATATAAATGGGAATTCAACCAGGGAGATTGCAAACAGTTCTGTTCAACTATCCAACAAAAACGAAGTAATATGGCTATCAATCCTATACACTTAGACGTGTACGCATTTATCCATACCTTCTTTTATGTTGAGACCTAACAAAACTTAGTAGATTAAAATCCTTCTGAACAAAGATTAATAATATTGCTGGATTTCACATCATAACACTCCAGAATCAACACTGGGTACTGCAGTGCCCCTTTCTTTCCTTCAGAGTATTTGTTCATTTCATCATGTGTCATAAGATCAGTTTTCATAAACTGTTTATAGGTTTTACGCAAGCATGAGTCTTAACATGTATTTCTATCCTTTCTATATTAGAGGGAGAAACACAACAAAGCAGGACAGAACTAAACATATTCCTATAGACACATAAAACTAAAAAGGCATATAAAACTTCTGTATAAGGAGTTCTGCCATGATCACGGTGCTGTTTCTTGTTATCATCAACAGAATTGGCTATATCATCAGATAAAAGATAATTGAACATATCAGTACATAACAGAATTAACAGAAATACAACTTTGTAGATAGTGTAGAGCTACAAAAATAGGTAGTAACAAAATCAGAATGGATATTGTGGAATCCATTGTCATTTTCAGTATAGTTGTCTATACTCCTCAATTTGATACCAGCAACCTAATAAAATCTATCAATAACAAGCCATATTTAACTAAGATCAGTCCTGATACAACAGTATAAGTCATACAGGCATCCTGATTGAGTTAATAGGAAACTAAAGATGACCACTGTGCTATGTCCTGATATCTTCAGGACAATTGTCTGTGCCCTCAGATCAGTGCTTGTATACAAACTAGGACAGAACAAGTTCCAACTAAGAGTGGTGTGAGTAATAAGGGTTATAACTCCTGATACACTATTAGCTATATCTTCTACTGGTTTCTCTTTTTTTTTGAAGACTATTCTTCCCGTTTACTTCCCCAGAATGAACTGTGTATTTTTGGGTCTTCCCAGCACTCACAGTTTATATTGGTAGGGGGGCAACCTGCTATTTACCTAAGTGTTTCTGAACTTTCTCACTCCTGGGCTGGATTTCTAGTTGTATTTCTTCATTTATTAAAGCCTGTCTGTTCAACCTATCCATAAATACTGGTCCAGTTGCCCCTATTATTCTCTGGTTCCCTATCACATCAAGTTCTGTTTTCTCATATATGATTTTGGTCCATATAACCTTCTTCAGGCTAATTATATTTCCTATAAAGAGCCTCTTGGTGGACCCTACCTCTTGACCCACTCTGCCTGTGATTCTTTTTTCCCTTAAGTTAATGTATCTATGCCATCTATATTAGAAATTATATCCAACCTTCTTTGCCTTATTTCTGTTGTGCTCTTTTTCTGTCATTAGTGGTCTGTTGTCTTCTTCATTTTGCTTTCTGCTCCATTCATTGTGGCCTCTCTGCCACTGTTTCTGGAATCCTGGTACTTTTCTCTCTCTTTTAGAATGTCCTTCAGTATTCTCTGTAGATTTGGATGGGTGGTTGAGAATTCCCCCAGTTCCTCTTTATCTTGGAAGCACCTTGTTTCTCCATTAATTTCTAGGCACAATTGTGCAGGATATATCAATCTTGGCTGGAGGTTATTGTCTTTCAAGGCTTGGATTATTTCACCCTATGCTCTTCTAGATTTGATGGTTTGTGCTGAGAAGTCTGCTGTAATTCTGATGGGTTTTTGCTTGTAAGTGATCTGTTTCTTGTCTCTGACAGCTTTTAATATTCTGTTCTTATATTGGAATTCTAGAATCTTGATTATTATATGCCTGGGTGTAGTTCTGTTTTGGTTGTAGGTGGATGGTGTTCTGTATGCCTCATACATCTGAGCATCTTTTCCTTTTCCTATGTTTGGGAAGTTTTCCTTAATTATTTCTGTGAATAGCCTTTGCAGTTCCTTTGTTTGTACCTCTGCTTCTTTATTCACATTCTTTATTCTTAAGTTATAGATCCTTTTGTCATCTTCTTGCCTTTGTATTGTTACTGCTTATTTCTTTGTTATTTTTAAGAAGTTTTTCCTTTCATGTTTCCACATTACAAACCTGTTCTCTAGTTCAGATAATCTATCCTTAGGTTCTTTCAAGCTGTTATGCCAGCTTTCAATAAAGTTTTTAGTTTCCTGATAATCTCTTTAAACCTGCTTCATGTATTCTATGTTTTCTCTATTTTCTCCATCAAACAACTCCCCTCTCCTATTTTTTTGTTCTCCTATTCTACCATCTGTTTTTTCTTGGGAAGTGTTTAGCATTTCTTTAATTATTCTATTTATATCTTGCTTTACTTGGTTAAATACTTCACTTTTGAACTTGTCTATGAGGTCCTGAAGATATCGCTTTATGTCTATTGGTGCCATGCCTGATATTGCATGCTTTCTGTCCTCATTCTCCTTTGCGTTTACCTTTCCTGGATCAGTGTTCTCAGGATTGGGGACTAAGGACCCTTTCTTGTTGCCTCCTCTTCTCATATTTTTTGTTCCTTCCATACCGGCATATATAGGAGGCCCAGTTTCTTTCTTTGTCAGTTTCAGTTTGTCTGAAGCGTGCCATCCACTGCAGTGTACTAGCAGGTACAGACCCAGGCAGCCTATGATGGACCTGCCTCTCCATGTCAACCTACTGAAGGCTTCACTGCATTAGGATGCACTGCCAGGCACAGGGGCTTAATTTGGGCTAGCCTATTGGGCCTCAGTCTGGGTGTCACCCACGTCAAGTGCTCCCCACCAATCCCACTTGAGAGAGGAATATGTGACTGAAGTCACTGCAGTGCCCTGTTCCAGCCAGTCTGCCTGGTCCCAGAATGTTCTCTGTTGGAGCCTCTTTACTCTTCTCACTCACCGCAAGTCAATGCAGGTTTCCCCGCCAGCTCCACTCTCAATTCAGTTCGCTGATTCCCGCTCTCAGAGTGTTCACGTCTCCAGTGAGTTCAAAGTAGCAGGCTATCCTAGCTGTGCCAATTCATGCATGGCAGCGGCAGCGAGTTCAATTCATGTGTTCAAGCGACAGCACCAAGACTTTAGCTGTTCCAGTGGTAGCACCGGGGCTGCATTTCCAATTGGTTTCTCTCAGCTTAGTTCGTTCCTGGGTCAGCAGGGTATATCTCCCTCTGCTTAGGATTCCCCACACTGCACCATTCCTGAAATCTAAGCTGACTATCTCAAGAGAGCCTCTGTAGCTGCTGTTATCTATCTACCATCTTTTTTGTCTTAGTTGAGGTTATTCTTATTGAGTCAGTTTGCAGAACTGTTTAGTCAGTGCGTGTTGAGGTACCTATTAGGAATGGGGGACTATGTATTAAGCCTCAGGGATGATGGAATGAAAAATGAAGTTCCCATCTCTACTCTTATGGATTTTATGATAACTTCAAGGGGGAAATTACACTGCTTTCTTTTGAAATGTAGAAGCCCAAGCCTTCTCAGAGGCCCAGCCCTTCATTTATCTGTCATGGGAATGTGTTTGAGATGCCATCCTACTTCCTTTACTAAATTAGAAACTTTTTTAAAGTACTGAGGTCTGAACTGCAAGACTTTTTTGAGTGTGATAGGCAAATGCCCTACACAGAGCTATATCCTCAGTCCTTATTTATTTTATTTGAAACACAGTCTTGCTATGTTGCCCAGGCTGGCTTTGAACTTACAGTCCTCTTGCCTGAGCTGAGATTACAGATATGCACCACTATCCCAGGCTCCAAATTGTAAACTTCTTGAGGGCACAAACTGTCTCATTTTCATGCCTTTCTTCAGCTTCCTCTGCTCTGCATTCCTAGTGCTTGGCTCCAGACCCATCACCCCCCTTAGTGGGTAGCACACTGAATGCATGAAGCATCTGCAAGCTCGGTTTACCCAGACAGCCTGAAAGGAAAGTTGCTATTATTAGCCCCATCTCCCATTAACACCACAAGCTCTACAGGGCTCCTGTGGTGGAACCCCAGGCTCCATCTCTGCCCCCTTCCTCTCCTTCTGCTCACAGCTTTCCACCCCACACCTCTGTGCTATTGACAGTCCAGGCCAGCTGCACTCACCTCTGAGCCTGTCCCTCCTCTCTTCTTGGGGATCTCTTCTCCCATGTTGTCATGTCAACCATCTGTTAGCTGATGCAACCTTTTCAGGAAGGACAATACAAAAGCAGTGTCTCGCCCTGCTCACTCTGCTCTCACCCTGTTCAATTCTTCTTCCCAGCATTCATCACTGCCTGACACCCAATGTATCTGCTGTTTAATTTTTAATGTTTGTTAATACTTGAGTGCTAGCTGCATTCAAGGGGGATTTTGTCAGTCTGGTTTAGAGATAGATCCTAGAACCTGGCCTGGGCTGGACACGAAGTCATCCTTCAATAAATATGTATAAGATAAATGAGTTTCCATTTTACAGATGGGAATTTTAAGCTTTGAAAGATTCGTTGACATTTGAGGTCACATAAACAGAAAGTGCCAGAGATGGATTTGAACCCAAGCTATCTGATGCCAGTGCCCATATTATATTGTTATTTTCCACTAAGCTTTCATATTCTCCAGAAAGAAATATTTATATTATTACATCCTGTAATGCTTAAAGCTCTTGACACATGGAAGAGAGGAAGGGATTTTATAAGATTCAGGTAGGAAACATATAGTCAGCTAATGGGTGCTGGCCTGAACTGCTGAGAAACAGGTTCCCTGTGAAGACTCAGGGTAGACAAAGGCACAAAGGCCTCAGACACCCAGTGGGAATAGAGAGTTAAAACACCTTCTTAAGTGCTTAGCTTATCACCAGGGGTAGCTTCAACAGTGTGAAAAATAAGGACTATTGAGAAAGTATAATCACTGCACATTCCGGTGAGCAGCTGGAGACCCTGTCCCACACCTTGCCTTGCACAGCACACGCCAGTTTAAATGCCTGAAATGCTTTGCTAATCTTCCAGAGGCTTCATTAGGACGAGATGGAGCCAGGAGGAAAATGTGTTTGTCTTTAAAACAAGGACAGATGGCAGATTGATAGCATTATGAAATGGCCACAGGACTTAACACTGGCTCTGAACATTTACCAGATAACAGATGCAAAGTTTAAGTTTACAGAAGGGGTTTGATCTCAATAAGCCAATGAATATGAAAATGTGTAAGCAACGAAAAGACTGATTTGTTCCTTAAGTGCAGCACATGGGACTCTCAAGGAGAAATAATGGTTGAGTAGGAGCCAGTGCTCGAATAACCAGTAGTTTAATTGTTCAGAGCCCACCCTCTTCTTCCAGCACACATTTTGGATTGGTTGCCACAGTGATCCTTGCTTTCCTCAGCACTAGGAAGCAGGAAGGAGATGGAACCAGCATCCTTCCTCGGGACTGGCCTGTGGGAGCTCCAAGAGTCAGCTCTTCCTGCTGGCTCCACTGTTGTCTCTAAAGGTCACAGGTGTGCAGAGTGACATGCATTAGCCATTCACTTCAGGGATTTGGTCATTTACCAGGCATTCCCTTTGTAGGTTAAAATGCTTAACATCTTCCTCCTTCCCATTTCCCTCTTCTTTCATTTCTCATCTCTACGTATCCTGACCCCAAGCATGCTGTTGTGAATTTTCATTACCTTGGAATCTGAGAAAATGTGCTGCCCTATTGGAGGACATTACACCAGGAAAGTGAAATTTCAAAACTTAAGTACTTTTCTCTATAAAGATGCCTTCTAAATTAAACCAATATGTTTCCCAGCTCTTAAACACTTTTTCCTTCTATAGAAAGACAGAGTGAATCTCCTGCCACAGGACTGCAGGGATAGCGATAGTCATCTTCCTGCCTTTGGCTTAGAATCTCATTGGAGCAGTGACACCCTGCTCAGAGATACACCAAGTGGTAAAAAGCAGGGGATGTTTGCCCCACAGAAGACACCAACAGTACCCCTGGGCTGCAAGGCTCATGGAGACAGACATCCTTCAGACATGCTCTGAGCACAGCAATGTGTGCACAGCCTGGTTTGACCAGGCAGCCCCTGAGAAATTTTGAGCATTTGGATTTGGACAAGTTCCTCTTTGAGTTAATAACAAATAGATTCCCATCCTGGACAGCTGTGATGAACAAGGTTATAGAATTCTTTCTCAGAGAGTCCTTCACAGACCAGTATATCTAAGGTAGCACATATGGGTGGTCTCTATATGCATTCTGTTTTATTGTCTTTACAGTATATCCTGCTACCTGAAATGTGTGTGTGTGTGTGTGTGTGTGTGTGTGTGTGTGTGTGTGTGTATCTGTGCGTCTGTGTCTGTGTGTCCTGAGGATCAAACCTAGGGTCATTTGCATGCTAGGCAAGTACTCTGTCACTCAGTCATTGAGTCATACCTTCAGCCCTAGCTTAGTCACTTTTTCATTGCTGAGACACAACACCCGACACCCACAATTTAAAGGCGGAGAGACTGGTTTTGACTCATAGTTTCAGAAGTTTCAGTGCATGGTTGACAGGTGCAAATGCAGAAATGGCGTGGTGGAAGAATCTGCTACACAAGAAAGGTACTCACATCGTGGCCAGGAAGCAGAGAGGGTAAAGAGAGAAGCTTTTCGGTCATGCCTCTGGTTACCCACCTTCTCTGGCCAGGCTCTATTCCTAATGGTACATTCAGCTATAGCACCCTCTGATTCATTCACCTTTCAAAAGCCCCTCCTCTGAACACATGAGGTTTTTAGGAGACATTCTTAACCTAAATCATAACAACTTCTTACCTAGATATTTCAAAGACTATTGCATCCAGGATTTGAGTAGCTGTTGATACCTAGAGATGTCATCTCATCATGGCTCACTTGCTAAAGTAGGGGTTATTGAGGGCAGGTAGTAAATGAAAGTGGAACAACTCAGTTTGTACACATGGGATAAAAGATATCAGAGTTGGAGAAGGCCACAAACAAGCTTTTGAAACTGCATCCCATATCCAGAATTTAAAACTGTGTATCCCATTTCACAAGGAGATTCTGGAGAATAACTCTGCCATTGAATATTTAAAGATGCAGAAGTGATAGTCTTTCTTATATATCCATTTAACTACTCAACCCAGCACCTCTGCAAAAATAAGATCAATCTTGAAGAATGGTATCAGACTGTTACAAGCTAAAATCAGTAGCTACCATATTTGTAGCTGCTATATTGATGAATAAGGTCTCAGACACATGATATAAGATCAATAGTTTTATGAATATGTTCTTTCCTATTCTGATCAAAAATAGTTCACATTTATGTGGAATGGACAATGAATAGTCACTTACAGTTTGTACTCTAAGGATATGTTAACTTTTCTGCCTTCTGTGCTAATACATTCCCAAAAATATGTAGAGCCTGGGTATCCTTCCTATAGAACATCACAGCAGCCCATTAGATCATGCTGATTGGGAAAAAATGAGCAAGAGGAGGTGGTACATAAAAGACCATTTAACACCCATGGACTCCAGATAGTGAGAGAAAAACCCTAAGATGGTGCAGGAGCCTATCTGTTTAGTAAAGCGCTTAGGCATGAGATGCTCAGGCGTTTGCTAAGAATCTCCATCACAGTAAAGGAAAATGACTGCACCCTGCATCTCCACCACAAAGAAGGAAGCAAGGGCTTGGCAGGTGGCTTCCTATTCTGGTGACTACACACTGTGCAGCCAGGCAACTTGTTCTGGCCCACTCAGCTGGTGACAAAGGAGGTTGCCAGTTTGTGTGGACTCAGTGGGAAAGAGGTCTACGATAGAGTCAGGCTGTTTTCCCAGCCATCCTGGTGTCTTAGGCCAGATCAGGTGAAGCAAGCAGCTCTCATTCATTTCTCACACCTCTGGAGGCTTGGAAGTCCATTACCAAGGGATCAGGGGAGCAAGCAGGATACATTATATCTGCAAGCAGTGATGACTCCGAAGGCAGTGAAAAGAAAAACATCTACTGGGCTGTAAGTGGCACCTCTAGTTATTTACTCTGCATTGAAAGAGTTGCAGCCTAAGCTAAGAGTAGCCCAAGGTCAGTGGCTCGCCTGGTTAGAGGCCTAGAAGGAAAATCAATGGAAGTAAGAGGCGAGGCAGTGCGGGGTAGAAGCTTGCGAATGGACACATGGGAGTGGGAACAATGTGTGATTTTTTCATCATACTTTAACACCCACCAGAAAGTGCTCACCATCTCACAATGCAGTAAACAAAATGATTCAGTTAGTTGGCATTAGCCAGCCTTCATTTTGCCACCCCAAAACTGGAATCATGGACATGCGAACACAGTTGCCATGGTGGCAGAGAAGGAAGCATCTGTCCAGGGAACCTGTTTCACAGAAGGCAATCTGTAGGAATAGGCCACAGACTGCACCAGGAGTGTAATAGACAACATAGTACAGGGTGCAGGTCACAGGTAGGCAGCTCACAGAACACAGGACCCATCTGTTGGTGGCACTGCCCAAATCACAGCATGCCAGGTCTCCCACATGCTAGGTCAATCTCACTACTAATAGCAGCTGTACGTGTCTCGCTCTTGACATTGCACTTTATCTAGAGGAGACCATAGCCATTTCATGGCAGACTTAACACTCACAAGTCTTTCCATCTTAGTACCTTGCCCCATGGGGATACTAATCTGGTTGTGGATTTATCTTTCTTGCCTGCACAGCTGCTGTATCAGTTAGGGTTCACTAGAAACAGAGTTAATGTAAAACACGTATTTGACTATATAAAGGATTTGCAAAGTAGGCTTCCAGTGGCCACTTAGTGAATCAAGGGAGAAAGAAAGCAAAATGGTCATCTGTGAGCTGGACAGCCAGAGGATCTACCCCGAGGTTGAAGGGTGCAGTCATTTTCCTTTACTTACTTACAAAATCTCATGAAAGTCCATATTGGGAAGCCAACGGTCTTTGTTAAAAGGCTAAAGAGTATACCCTGGAAGCCTGAAGGAACTGGAAACGAATGTCCAAAGGCAATGGTAAAGATCAGAAATTCAGCAAAAAGAAAAAGAAAGAAAAGAGACAACTTCCTTCTTTTTTCCTTTTTTTGTCCAAGTTATAAGCATATGGTACTATCCAGATCCAGGATGGGTCTTCCCTCCTCAGTTTGTAACCCACAAGTCAGTCATCCAAACATGAACAGAGTTTCATTAGTCTGCTAGGTAGTTCCTACTCAAGTCATAGTGACATATCACAACTTATGGCACAACTTCACTTAGCCTCATGATTCAGCAGCTTGTAGATTAGGTACCTGGTGTCATGGTTTATGCCAGTGGCCCCCAAGCCTCATGCAATTATGCATTTGTGATTGGTTCATTATCTAGTGCTCAGATTGGGGGTGTGAGTGCTATACCAGCCTAGGGGTGGAGCGAGCATACAATGTAATGACTGAAAGGTGTGTGTTTCTCTTTCTCTTGCCAATTTCCACCTTGCTGCTTGCAGCTGCGATGAACTGTGGCCTCGCCATGCCACCCTGCCTTGGAGCCAACTGAGTATGGACTGAAACCTCCAAAAACTGTAAGAAATAAACTTTTCCTTCCTTCATTTTGGGCAACAAGTATTTTGTCTTAGCAACTAGTAAAAAGTAACTAAGACACCTGGCAAACAAGTATGGAAACCTGCACAACATATAGCTGTTCAGAAGACTCACTTCATGGCAAATAATTTATGGGAATAGGCTCTTGACCACGGAATCTACTGATTTGATAATACAGTCACACTTTAGGTGGCAAGTAGTCTCACCAAACACAGGAAAGACCTGCTGATCACCACCACTGAAGCACCCACTTGGAGGCACTGTGCTCTTCAAGGACAGTGCCGTTCCTTATGTGCAGTGAGCACTTGGAATCAGAAACCTATGATGCTATAGGAAGAATACCTGAGTCTGAAAACCAAAAGGTGGACATGAGTGGCTCCATTTGCCTCTATACTCAATGGCTCATTGGAAAACTTTGTGCTTCCCACGTCCACAACTCTTGAGCACTGCAAAACTGATTCCTAAAAGGGGTGCCATCTTGTCTAGATACAGAGCAAGTGCTCTGTTGACCATAAGCGGTGGGGGTTACCTATTCAAGGTCCAGCAGGAAAAAAAAAGCAGAATCATTTTGGATTTTCTTTGACTCTGAGTCAAAGAAGGAGGTCGGGCTGGTCTGACACGAGAGGGCCCACAAAGAATGCATGTGGATGCCAGCTGATCCACTTGGGCACCTTGTGACATTTTAAAAATTTTTGGTTCCATTTTTACCATAGATGGACATACATAGCAAACTGATTTGACAAGTATCAAACTCCTTGATGATAAAGGTTTCAGTTACGACAGTAGGTAAAATTACTAACACCTGCAAAAAAAGCTGAGGACAAGAGGAACTTAGAACAGTGAAGAAGGGAAAAGATGTGCATCAGATCATGGCCAACTGAAGCAACAAAGTTTTTCATAAGCCCACTTTGGCCCAAAGCCGGACATTCCAG